GTCGCTTCTATATAAAATTTTTGTGTCAATTGATGAACATACATCTATATCTGAGGTATAGTTGATTTATAAATATAATATATATTAGATAATTACAAATATTTGCAGTTATTTTAGAAGTTTTGTTGTTATATGTAGTTCATGTCTTTTTTAACTTATGTGGATAAGTTTATGGTTTTATCCCAAAAATAACATTTACTGACATTAAATACTGATATTAGTTTTGTTCAAGAATCAAGTTATGAATTTTTTTTAAATTTTCAAAGATCAAGTTGAAAGATAGAAATAGAATTTAAAATTTACTGTTTTATTTTCTTCATCTATTAAAGTTTTTAATTCACTTATTGATTGAGATTAAAATATTTATGTAAAATGTTCAACTATATGTTTATTTCGAAAAACTAAATTTTCTTGGTGTTAATAAGTTAGTTAATGTGTTTCTTCAAGCGTTGATAAAAGTCAATAAACAATCATTGCAAAGAAAATATGAAAAATTTTAAAATCTATTTAATATTAATAATTACTTAATATTGTTTTAGTTGGCTACAGTACTACAGATAGAACTAGATTCGGTAAAGCAAGCTGTGTCTCTATATTGTAGACTTGGTTTTGCTTATAAAAAAGTTTGATAATTTTGAATTGAGTTCTGATAAATTACATCCATCTTGGTTAAATCGAACAAATCCTATAAAACCGTAAGTTTATTTACTCTGAATAGGAATTATTTTTAACTTTGTAAATAACTTATGCTTTTAACCTTTAGAAGTCCAGTTACACCCTTGACTTTTGATTCTGCATTAACACCTCCTACTTCTCCAGATTGTAATATAAAACCAACATTAAATACATCTCCGAAAACACCAGTTGATTCATGCAATCGATCTGGACCAAGAATTGGATTCTTATTTGATTCTGCATTAACAGCTTTTTTAATGATGGGCAATTTATCACCAGTATGTATAAATATATATTTTGAGCCTATTTATACAATAATTGTTATAAATAAAATTAAATAGTATTCCACATGTAAAACCCTTGTATTACCTTTGTGCTACATAAATTGTTTTTCTTTTCATTAGGGTTTAAAGAACCATGCCGTGACCATGTTTGAAGTGGAAAACTATGTGATGAAAGCTTAGATAGTTTTCTGGTTGAATTAGATAAGGTTAGTAAATCCATTTTCAAGTTGTGCCTTGATTTTTAATATCATTTTGCAAAAACAGGTGTCTTTATTGGACTCAGATGGTGAGGGTGATGCATGTCGGTTCTTTGCTCATGCAGTTCATTTGCGTTCAACAATTTTAAGGCTTAGAAGTCTTTCACCATTTGGAATGGACTTGCTTAGACAAGAAAGCTTACAAGCACTAGATAGAGGAACTTGTGAAAGATTACTCAAACGTAAATATAAGTATGTATGTATACATAAACATTTACTTGTTTATTTGTTTGAAAATATATAAGTATTATGAGATTGTACATCCTTATGAAATTCTTTTTGGTGATCATATTAATGGTGATCAAAAATTTCCAATTATTTTTGGAATCATATTTATAATTTTTAAATAATGGAATGCATTATTAACTATCTGAAAGAGAAGTATACGCTTTTGCGACAAACTCCGATTTACTAATTTTATGTTTTCTGAGTTTTAAGTCATTCTGAATCGAATGAGGCCAAATTTTGAAAAAGTATGTGTGTGTATGTATGTGAGCTGTATTTTGATCTTTCGTCGACATTTTCTTAAAAACAACTGCACCGATTAAGAAAATTTAAATGTAAACTCGATGTTACTCTATAAGGACTAGCATTTATCAGTTTTAGGCTACAATTGGCTAATCCGTTTCTTTGTAATTAGCAGAAAAGTCTAAAATTTTTCGTCCACTTTTAAGCCAAAATTTTGAATTTATTTCAAAAATTCAAAAACTGCTCGAAAGATATTGGTTGCGATTAGTTTTTGTTAAATATCGGCCGGGCAGTTTTTTCGTAAATTAATGTTGAATTTTTTTTGACGATTTTGATGCAACTTTGTATAGACTTTATAGCCTAAAATAACGTACTAAAATATTATAGGCCTACGATAAGCGGTTCAATTATAAAAAATCATCGAAGTTTAGAAATCCGCCGCGCACTTACGTGATTCTAATCTAAATGTTAATGAAACTAAATGTTAATAAATAATTAAGTAATCTAAATTTAAATAAATCTAAACTTGCCTTAAGGTGCAATGCTACTCACAATTAGTAAATGATGTTTTAGTTGTTTGATTGTTCAAATAATTCTTTTGTAGATTATTGATTTCAATGGCTCCGCTTGGACGAGAAGGTGCATTAGTGAGCCCTTTGGAACCACCGCATTTGGGGCCACCTGCTCCAGAAGTAAATTCATTATGGTTCAAGCTTTATGTTTACCACATGAGTGGGTATGGTCCTCCAACCTTACTTTTGACAAAAGGTGAATATTCTATTTACAATTGTGGAACAAGATGTGATAGAAAATTTTAAACCTGGTAATTCATTTCATATAGGTACTCGATTAAAACAAATGCCTCGTTTGTTTCTGGGATATTCTAAATTGTTAGTTACATCTTGGCTACATGAACCAGCAGTTATTTCTGCGACATCACTTTATCTATAAATGAGTCACTAAAATATACACCGGTAATTATTCAAGCCTATGGAACATTTAATGCCGCTACTACCAAAGTTATTGCGTTTCCATTTAATGAAATGAAATCTGGTAATTTTTCTCTCTTTTCATCATCAGATAAAAAAAATGTATATGTTGATACAATTGAAATATATATTTATAACAAAACAGGTAATAATGAGATAAGATGGCATCAACATCCAGCCATAAAACTATTATCTAAATATATTGATATGGAAAGTACATGCGGATACATCACTTTTGTAAATACTGGAGTAATTGATATTGGTTGTGAAGACCATGATCCAAATGTTCGATTAGGAAAAAACATAGCAAATAACATAGATAAAATATCAGGTATTGTATATGATAATATCCATGTCAATTTCTATCAAGGATTTTATTCAAGAAATATCATTTAAATTTTTTGTAGATATTAAAGGCACATGTTCTGAAACTACTTTATCAAATGATAACTTCAGTTTTGCAAAAAAAGCAACAGTGAATGAAATTGAGAGTGAGCTTTTACAGGATATGCCAACTGATGAAATAAAAGCGTCTGATGTTTCAACTATAGATAAACTTCAGTCGCCTGATGAATCACACTTTTCAATCACTCCTGTTAAATCATCACATTCAGGATATTCGCCTTCAAACTGTTTTACGAGCTCAGATTGCAATGAAATTTTACAAGAAGAGTTAGATAATTTGGAAATAAACAGTCAAATCAAATGTGAGACTCAAACATGCCAAAATATGTGTGAGACTGAAACGTCTCAACAAAAAGGCGGAACAGTTTTAACAGCAGATGAACTTCTCAGTCCTTTAGATGAAAACATATCTATGTTTTCAATAGTTGATAAAAGTGAATGTAAAGAAGATAATGTGCAAATTAATGAAGAAATCGATATTGATAAATCAGATGGCCAAATCGTCAATAAAGAACAGGTACTTGACAACTTTTGTTTCAATATTGATTGCTTATATTATGAAGATTTTTGTTATATTTTGTAGACATTTTTATTATTTAGTTAAATTTGTGGTGTTTTGAAATCTTCTTTATAGGTTTTAGTCCAAAGTTCCTATTTATGTTTCATTAATTCTAATTATAGTTAGATAATAAATGTTCTTCTGCTTTAATGGATAATCATTAAAACTTTAAAGCCTAGTTTTGACCCTCGCTTAATTGAATTCTTTTTACTTCGCTTCACATTATTAAATTTAACCGGTTTCTGTTAATTTCATTGAAGTCAAGTCTAAATCTATAATTATTATTTCATGAATAATAAATATTATAAATAAGAAATATTTATATTGAATGGAAATTATAAAACTATTTAAAATTGATGTGATTTGTTTTAAGGAGTGGACATTATTGGATTGTTGCTTTGGAATACCATTGTTTGATGCTGACGCAAACACACATATCTGCGATGCAATAGTGCAACGACTGCAATCTGATGAAAAGTATGTTATTTTTATTAGTTTTTAACTTCCCAAAGGAGAAGTTCATGATTTTAAACCCATTCTGAATCAAATGAGATAAAATTAGAGAAAGTATGTGTGTGTGTATCTATGAAAGCGCATGTTTATGTGAGCCTTTTTGACCTTTTGTCGATGTTTACTCAAAAACAACTGAACCGAATTTAAATGTGTTTGAGGGATATCAATTGGAAAAAGCAAATGAATGTTTATAATTAACTGAACTTCATTTGCAAAATGAACAGTTGAAATTTGATCTAAATATCTAAATCTTAATTTTGGTTGATTAAGTCAATTATTATACTTTTCGGAGAGTTCATGCAACTTGCCTTAACTTAACTAATTTCTTATTAACTATTAACTTTTATTAATTTATTAAGTTTTATTATTTATTAGTACTATTAACTTTTTTTATAGTCTTCGAGAATAGTTGGGGCAAATAAAAGGCTTAGTGATAATTTATTGGATTTATATCCCAATGTCAGGTATGATATTATTTGTGATTATGAAATTTGTATTATAATTATTTTGATACAATGTTATTGATATCTTTTAATTTAAGTTAATATAAGTAGTAATTTATTGAAAAATTAATTCAGTACTATCCAGGCGAGAATATGGGCATCATAAAGAGAGGTTTTTTAACTCCACTTCCAAAAAAATGTTTAGCTTTGAGAATGGCAGAGTAAACATATGGTCAGGAAAATAATATATATGTAAAATGTGTAAATAATGTAAATTAAAAAGTAATGTATAATTATTTAACTATTTTTTCTTTATAATAATCTAACCTTTTTATAGCAGTTTTTGAGTTTTAAAAATCATGAATAGATTTATTTCATTTTATTAGAAAAATAAGTTATACGTTTGTTATAAAATAAATAAAAAAGTAAATATAGTATTATACAACAAGTTCACGGAGCTATTTCAAAAGGATCAGTAGCATTGTTTAAAACTTGCACTAGATAATTGTATGCTTTCTTATCAAAGTCTTCTGTTTGTTCATCTGATCCTATGATTACATATTGATTACAATTTATGGAATCTTTTCCAACAGGTTGACCTATTATTTCTATCCATCCACTCAAAGGCTCACTAAGAGGTTCGTTTAAAATAACCTAAAACCCAAAATAATTTGAATATATTAAAATAAGGAATATGTTTCGAAGTACGACATAGATATTCTTGATCAAATTTATGAACCGTACCTTAACATTCACGTTATCTGTAGTAAGAACATTAATAAATCTTCCAGATCTATCGGCATTGTTCACCAGTCCCATCAACGAAACTGAACTCCCTTGACACATTCTCATATATGCTCCATTTACTTTTTTATAAGTCATTATTTAACTATTTTTGCGGCAATATAACTGGCAAAATAAATTGGCAATGAAGAACTAAAAAATTAACAAGAAACAACTGCAAAAATACGCGGGATTGTATTGACAGTTATCGCAGGGATATCGCCATAGATAAAAAAATACAAGCCTTAACAACGGTTGCCAACATAGGAGAATAAAAACCAATGTAGTAAATTAAATATTTTTGATATATCAACTCACAACTATTATTGTAATTTTATTATATTGTAGACCATAGTTTAATAATATTTTTCATGGTCGGTTAATTATGAATGGTAATAATTAATAACAAAGGGTGAAAATCCATTCTTTTGGCCGTATATGTATGACTGTCTATAGAACCAAAATTCAACTATCTATGCTTTTGTTGCTTGTGTTTTGATTGGTAGTTAATAAATGTCAATAAAATGTTTATAATTTAAATTTACGACAACACTACAAAATGTTGATTTTAGAATATTTTAACGAAAATCTAAAACCAAAATAAATATTATTAACAATTAAAACACATTTTAAACTTTATTGAAATCGATTTCGATTGGTTAAACAATGACAGATGCAGATGAATTAAGTTTTACAGCTTTCGCTGATTTATGTAGATTATGCTCGTTAAAAAATGGTACTAGAATTAATATTTTTGATAAAGAAGGCGAAGAAAGACAGATTTTGTATAAAATTCGATCCTGTCTTGCTACTTCTGTAAGTCCAAATATCATATCATTTAAATTAGATTTGTATTGTGAAGTGAATTGGAATGTATATAATCTAATATTCAAATATAATGCCCAAGCATTTTTTACAGGTTACAAAAGATGACTTTCTTCCAAAAAGAATATGTGAAAGATGTGCAGACACATTAGACAGGCTTTTTGAGTGGAGAAATGAGTGTTCTAATACAGATACTGTCCTAAGAAATTATGCAGATTCTATGAGATCTGTCACACAAACCATCAATTTCCAGGTTATAATATATATATATATATATATATAAATATATATATATTATTTATTCAATAAATAAGTCCTGGATTTTTTCAATCCAATCAACATCTTCAAAAAACAAATTGTTTTTTATTATTGGATTTACTATTCGGAAAAGAATTAAACAATCAATATATATATTATATATATATATATATATATATATAATAATAAATAATAATGGGTGTACTGCCCTAGGGCAGGTCCGTGAGCTGAGTTAAAACTTCAACTCGAATCAGGGAAGAATAATGAGAGATTTTCCATTGCCATTTCACACCGCAGTGCCCCAATAAAAAGTAAGCACTCAAATTAAATATGTATCTCATTGTACTAGTTTTGACACTTAAATGAGTATCATCTTCCAGCTAAAATATAATAATTTTGTAAAAACATTAAACAACATTAAATTAAAACATTATATAAAAACTTCCAATTATAAGAATTTAAATAATATGATATTATATATTTATTATACATTATATTGTATAAATTAGTTATTATATATATTAGTACATTATATGACATAATTATTAAATATTATATTATGTCATATAATGTATGGAGTATTTTTTTTATTTTTGAATAAGAAAATAGAATTAATTTTTAATATAAAGAAGAATAATTGGAAAATTTATCTTGATGGGTCGCTCATAATGTAATTCCATAATATTAAAAAATGAATGATATTGATTGAAGACGAATACCCATATATGAAGACGAATAATCCATAATGATGTTGAAAACCTTCATCCTTTTTAGGCCCAGGAATATATTCACATATATGACACCCATATAGGTGTCGAAACTAGTGCAATTAATACATATTTGAATTGAGTACTTATTTTTTATTTGATGTATTGGTTGATATATATATATATATATATATATATATATAATATATATATATGTATATAAATATAAATTAAGAAGTCATTTGACAAAACTTGATAAGCATTTGCATTAGTTAGTTTTTGATGCGATCGACTTAGACATTTCTTTAGAATCATTAGAAAAGTGCACAAATTTTTTTCCACGTTATATTTGGAAATCGTGCTGATTATTTTTTGACAAAGATAAGCCAGGCAGTTTCTTTGTAATTGTTTAATTAATTTTCATGAATCTTTGCTTGGTTAAAAAGTACGCAGTCTTAACGAACAACTAAAATTATAGTCCGACGAAAAGTGGTTTAAATATAAAAATTAATTCAAATTTAGATTAATCTTTAGTAATAAAGATGTTGTACAAAATTGAATAATCTGCAGCATCTCGGCATACTTACTAATAAATTAATATATTTATTTCTTATTGATTAAATCGCTTATTTACACATTCGACTTTCCATAAGGCAAAATGCCACTTACTACAACTACATAGTTGTTTTTAATTTTAAAGAGATTTTACGGAATAATATCTGCGTTACTTAATCAATTCAATGCAAAGTTTGAACAACAAAATTAAAAAGTGCAATCTTTTCTTATAGTAATTGCAAAGAAATCGAAAGTTACATCTTTACGTTTTAAAGGTTTCTGAACATTTTGGCATTCTTTAGAAAAAATGGATGCATATTTTGAATAATTCAAAAAACATTCGATTTGCATTGATGGGCAGACGTGCTAATTAGTTTTTGGCAAGGGCAGGTCCAGCCGTTGCGAAGATACGGGGCAAAAAGTGCCAAAAATGGCAAATCGGTTTTTGAGAAAATGGAGCGTCCGATTTGAATAATTCAAAAAACATTTTACTTGTATTGGCGAAATGAAGAATTGATTAAATCAATAAAGACATATCTAGCCGCTTCAATGGAAAAATAAAAAATGTCTTCAAATTATTAGATATTTTATAGAGTTTGAAATAACTAGTACAAATTTTGTTCCCATTACTTCAAGATTTATAATGTTTACAACCGTTTAGACTGCAACGCTGCGCTACACGCTTTGATATTTTGTCTCTAAAATAGATACGCAGCGATTTTTCAGCTGTGAAAAAAACTCAAAATCCAAGAATCAAAAGAATCAAAATATAATTAATCTATTTTTTCAAATTTCACAAAAATCTAATTCTCTCAATTTTCAAAAAATTCAAAGCTTTTTTAAATTTTTAAATGACGGTACCGAAAGTACCAGCAATTTGCCTTAAGGCACGATGCCATGCACCAATAGTTTTTATTGTTATCAACTTCCCGTAGGCAAGTTATAGTAATCGCAAAAAAATCGAAAATGAATTTTTATATATCTTTACGTTTTGGCATACCTACAGATAGAAAAAATAAGTGTGAGGATACCAATTTTCGTTAATTTAAATAAGTTTTCAAAAATTTAAAAATTCCGAAAAAGTTTATGTTTTCATTAAAAAATCCGAATTGCTAATTTATGTTTTTCGACGTTTCAAGCCATTCTGAATCGAATGAGATCAAATTTGGAAAAAAGTAGGTGTGTGTGTGTGCGAGTATGTGAACAGATTTTTTGCCGTAAATTGACGTTTCTCGAAAACGGCTGGACCGATTTCAAAAATTTAAAAGCCACTCGATGTATCTCGATGAGGACTATTGTTTGTCAATTTTGTGCGACGATCGGCCAAGCCGTTTCTTTATAAATCGCAGAAAAATGAAAAAATTTTCATCTACGTTTTAGCCCGCAATTCTGAATCGATTTTGAAAATTCAAAAACCGTTCGAAAGATATTGTTTGGGAATCGTGCTGATTAGTTTTTGGTAGAGATCGGCCGGGCCGTTTTCTTGTAATGAAGTTTAAAAAAAAAATTCGACGATTTTTATGATTATTTTTTTGACGGTAGATACCATAGTCTTCTAGATTATACTAAAGTATTACGGCCCTACGACAACTGGTTTAGCTTTAAAAATTCGTCAAAGTTTGCAAAAATTAGTATGGTCTTTTTGGCATTTGTCAAAATTAGAACTTTCATCGACGTTTGCTCAAAAGGCGTTTTTGACCGATTTCAGATGTTTAAAAAGCATTTGATGTATCTTGATGAGGATTATCGTTTCTCAGTTTTGTGCGACGATCGGCCGTGCCGTTTTTTTGTAATTTGGAAAAAAGTGTTAAACTTTTCGTCCACATTTAAGCTCATACTACCGAACCGATTTTAAAAAATGAAAAACTGTTCGAAAGATATTAGTTGGGAAAGATACTGATTAATTTTAGGTGAAAATCTACCGAGCCGTTTTCTTGTAATTAACTGTTGAAAAAAAAATTTAGGCCGATTTTTATGGAACTTTTTTTGCCGATATATATCATGGTCTTATAGAACTTACTGATTATTGGCTTTACGACAAGTAGTTTAATTTTAAAAATTCATCAAAGTTTGAGAAAATGAGTAGTTTTTTGGACATTTGTTAAAAATAAAATGAGATGATTTAGTTTAACGATAGTGTATAACGATAGTGTTTAACGTTGGTATAACGATAGTGTACTTGGTCTTGAACCATTAAAGTCCTATGGAAACTGGTTCAATTATAATTATTGATTAATTAAAATTATTGATTTGTGAAAATTTGCTTTTAGAAAATGCTCCGAGTTAACGTGTTCGTTCGTTCGTTTGCAATGATGTGTAATAAGTCCACTCGGAATACTTCTATTCACTCATAAATTAATTTATTTTTTATTGATTAAGTCGATTATTTACACATATCGGGAAGTTCATGTAACTTGCCTCAAGGCTAAATACGAAACTAAATAGTTTTCAAAGTTTAAAACATATTTAATCTTTTTTAAAAAAATTGATTTTTGGTATGGGAAGTTTTAACGATTTGCCTTAAAGCACGATGCCATACACCACTATTTAGTAACAATTACATCTGTCCTGAAATGGACAACAAGTAAGTCTGTAGGGAAACAATGGCTAAGAATACAATATTGCAATCTGTTAAATACAATAAAGAAAACTTGATATAAATATATGAACGCGTTTTTGATCTGTTCTATGGGAAGTCGTCTTAACGGGGTTTTACTGTATATATGTACATATACACATATATGGTGTGTATGCTTGTATGCTTGTATGCATATTTATTTATTGCGCATTATTGTAATATATCGAACGCGAAAACTTTCATTACTACGACTACATATATGCCT